ACCATTCATGTTTGTGTTTCTTTCCCTTTTTATTTTTCTATTTTTCTATTTTTCTATTTGTCTCTAAAAACCTTGCCTTGATTTAGTGCGAAGTTGTGGGTTAATCTCTCTCGAAAACCCTCACGAGAGCATACTCGTCCTCCTAAGTGACTTGGGGGTTTAAATGGCTTGTCGTTTACGCTAAAAACGACCGTGATTCCTACGAAAGTGAGTTAGTGTATAGACTTATGCTTTTGGTTATTTTTGTTTGCTTATTTTACTTCGCTCGAGGACGAGCAAAGGACTTAGTTGGGGGGAATTTGATCAGTGGCCATTTGGCCCACTTTTCTACTTCGTTTCTTCCCCGATTGAGCCCTTTGTTTGCCCTTTTTCCTCTATTTTAGCTTAGTTTTGTTATTATTGAGCATATTTGTTACTTGGAGTGGTTTTGAGTCATTTTTGGCTCATTTCCTAAGGTTTTATTCCTCTCCTTTAACCCATTTCAATTTGCTCCTATTAGAACCTTTCCTATGATTTGTGTTTTCCATCTTACAGGTCCTCCCGTGGCTAAGAAAGCAAGGATTGGATGCAAGGATTAGGCATGCTTTGGAGTCAAAGGGATTGGAGCATTAGAGCCCAAAATATGAAGGAATGAAGAGTTCAGAGCGGGCGCTCTAGATATGGAGCGGGCGCTCTGTATTCCTTGCTGCAGAAAAACCAAGTACCCAACCCTCAGAGCGGGCGCTCTAATGTTGAAGCGGGCGCTCTAGCTCCCAGAATAATCAGAGCATTTTCTGCGAGACTTCAGAGCGGGCGCTCTGGCCTTAGAGCGGGCGCTCCGTGTTCCCCTGACCGATTTGAACTCTGCTACACGCGTAGGCCGACGGCTCTAATTATTTTACTCTGCACGTGATGCCTAAAATTTTGGGCCTTGATTTGGGTTAGGTTTTAGAGGAGAGGTATGTAGAGAGAGAAATATTAGAAAATCAGATTTCAGCTTATTGTTTTTTTTTCTTTCTTTTGCACTTTAGATTAGTTAGGGTTTAGTTCCTCATTAGATCTAAAACACTACTCTTTGTCACTCTCTTTCATTTTCAATCCAAGATTAAATCTTTTGGTATTATTTCTATCCCTACTCTTTATTTATTGCTTTATTTATCTATTTTAATTAGTTTTAGCTTATCTTTAGTTGTTATTTCAAGTCAATAGAATAGTTTAATATCTTAGTTGCCTCCTTGTTTAAACTTGCAATTTCTGGTTTTGATCCTTTATTTTCTTGCTATTAGTATAATATTATCCTTATTTGCTTAGATTTCATGCTATTTAGAATAGATTACAAGTAGACTTAACATATTCTCTTCAAAGTTAACTTCTTTAGTAAAGTTTAATCATCCTATTTTCTGGTTTTTAGCCATGTTTCTCTCATTAAACTTAGTTTTTGCTTTTGTTAATGTTCTTGTGTGCTTTGGTATGACCCTTCCTTCTCTAGGCTAGGTTTCTAGCTAGGGGAGGGGGAAATGATGAACTAATGATGAAATGAATGATATGTGGTGCAAGATTGGGTAGATTGAGAAGTTTTGCAATTGATTCCAACCTAGGTTTTAGTTGTTAGGAATTAGAGATTGATCACCTCTAAGACCCTATTTTGTGTTGCATGCTAGTTGCGCGAGAGTGAGCTTGTATGTGATGATGACTAGGTTAGGGATGACCTCGACCACCGAGGCGGGGTTGGGTAGGCGGTGTTTAGGTGAGCCCGAGAGGGAATCCTAGATGTTGGACCATAGGCCCCAATTGTTTGGTTGACCGATTGAACCATTCTTGTTGCCTCTAATTGTTGAAATCATTGTTAGTTAGGAATTCTCCCCTATCCCCTAGTGTTTGCTATTCCTTGATTTTCGAAGTTTTATACCTCTGCTTGTTGCTTGTTAATTTAGTTCTTAGTTTATTTGTTTCCCTAGTAGCTATAGATAAATCCATCAAAAATTTATTCCTCCCTTTTCAATTGACTTATAAGTGATCTAAGCAAGAGACGTTTGACCTTCCCTGAGGATTCGACCCCTCTTCCACTATGCTACCTTTGGTTAGTTTAGGACGTGGGTTTTCTTTTTATTCTTGACTCGACCTTTAGGAACTAACGACACCTAGGGGGCCGATCAACGACACCATATCCAACGATCTCCTCCAAACAATTCTTGAACCCGACTCCACGGCTCAACAAGCGTGGGAACGTCTTCGCAATATCTTTCAAGACAACAAAAGTTCTCGTGCGGTGCAATTGGAAGGTCTATTCTCCAATGTCGAAATGAAAGATTTCCCCAATGTTTCTGCATACTGTCAAAGGGTGAAAATGCTTGCCGACCAACTAGCCAACGTTGGTGCGCCGGTCAATAACCACAGATTGGTGCTAACCCTCATTCGCGGTCTCCCGAAATCCTTTGATGGCGTAGCCACTGTCATCCACCAATCCGACCCTCTACCTGATTTCTACAAAGCAAGATCCATGCTCACCCTCGAAGAATCTCGTCTCGCTGACCAAGCTGCCACTGAAGCCATCACGGCGGGCTCTGCTTTGATTGCCAACAGTCATGACAATACTCACTTTAATGGGGACTCCTATCCCGCTAATGATTCCAACCACCGCTCCTCTCACCGCGGCGGAAGAACTCAGGGCCGTGGTGGTCGCGGCCGTGGCGGCAACGGCCGAGGACGTGGTCGCAACAACAACAACCGCGTGGGTGGGTCGAACCATGGTTACAACCAGCAACATCGAACTCCCCAAACTTCTCAAAACTGGAATGCTGCTTTGCCTCCCTGGTCGCAATTTTCTCCTTGGAGTCAGTGGACTCCGCAAGCGTGGGCTATCCCACCTTGTCCCTACCCCACCGCAAATTGGACTCGCCCATCAGGCCCACGACAACAAGGGCTTTTGGGCCCTAGACCACAACAACAAGCGTACTCCACTCATGCCCCTCCTCCTTCTAGTTACGCTCCTACTGACATTGATCAAGCTCTTCATACTCTCTCCCTCACTCCACCAGATGATGGGTGGTATATGGATACCGGGGCTACGTCCCACATGACGTCAAATTCAGGTACACTCTCACCTTATCTTAATTTGGGCAATAATCAACGTAGCATTATAGTTGGCAGTGGACACAAAATCCCAATTCATGGCATCGGTTGCACCTCTCTCCCCTCACCTCATCATTCCCTTTCCTTAAATAATGTCCTTCATGCCCCGAAACTAATTAAAAATCTGATTTCTGTTAGAAAATTCACAAATGATAATTGGGTTTCCGTTGAGTTTGACCCGTTTGGTTATTCTGTGAAGGACCTCCCGACGGGGACAACAATTTTGCGATGTGATAGTTCCGGCGAACTCTATCCCCTCACCAATGTCGCACATCCTGCCCAATCTCCATCTAGTTTTGCTGCTATTTCCCCGTCTCTTTGGCACGACAGGCTTGGTCATCCCGGAGTTAATATTTTGCATTGTCTTAGAAAGAACAATTTTATTGAATGTAATAGACGTTTGAGCACTTATATTTGCAATTCATGGCCTCTTGGTAAACTTGTGAAATTGCCATTTTATTCTTCTATGCCTACTACTTGCATGCCATTTGATATTGTGCATAGTGATCTTTGGACATCGCCGAAAATGAGTTCGGCGGGGCATGTTTATTATGTGCTATTTTTGGATGATTTTAGTAACTTCTTATGGACTTTCCCCCTATGTAAAAAGTCACAAGTATACTCCTTCTTTATGCATTTTCGTGCCTATGTGTCCACTCAATTCGAAAGACAAATCAAATGCTTCCAATGTGACAATGGCAAAAGAATATGACAATGGCCCCTTTAGTACACTTTGTGAACAAAATGGCATGCTCTTTCGTTTCTCTTGCCCTCACACCTCCTCTCAAAACGGCAAAGCCGAAAGGAAAATACGCACCATCAACAATATGGTTCGTACCCTTCTTGCTTACTCTTCCATGCCCCCCTCCTTTTGGCATCATGCCCTTGAAATGGCAACCTACATTCACAATATTCTACCTTCTAAAACTATTGCCTCTAAATCCCCCACTCAAATGCTCTTCCACAAAGATCCATCTTACTCTCATTTACGTGTTTTTGGATGCCTTTGTTATGCGCTTTTCCCCTCTACCTCTATTAACAAACTTCAAGCTCGGTCTACCCCTTGTGTCTTCTTAGGCTACCCACCTAATCACAGAGGGTACAAATGTTACGATATGTCCACTCACAAAATCTTTATATCTCGACATGTTGTATTTGATGAGAGTCAATTCCCTTTTGCCAAAATCCATACTCCAGCAGCCCATTCGTATGATTTCTTAGACATTGGGCTCAGCCCAACCATCCTACATCAACTTCACACTCATGCTGCTTCTCCTCCTAACCCACCAGAAAATACGACCCATGTGCCCACCTCTCCTGGCCCTAACACGCCTAAGCCCATTCCCTTCTCTTCTCCTTCTCCTCTCGTGGGCTCCCCAACTCAGCCCACACCTCCTACTCATCAAATGGGCTCAGCAAGCCGGCCTACTACTTCCCCTCCTATTTTAGCCCAGATCTAACCTCAGCAAATTTCCCAACCCACAAAAATGACCACCAGAAGCTCAAATGGCATTTTCAAGCCAAAACGCCACTTCAACCTCACTGCCTCCTCTCTGCCTTCCCCCCTCCCCCGCAACCCGATTGCCGCCCTCTCCGATCCGAATTGGAAAGATGCTATGTTTGATGAATATAATGCCCTTATTAAAAATAAGACGTGGGAGTTGGTGCCCCGGCCTTCTAATGTCAATGTTATACCTTGTATGTGGCTTTTCCGCCACAAGAAAAATGCTAACGGTGGTTTTGAGAGGCAGAAAGCCCGTCTTGTTGTTAATGGCAGGAATTAACAGGTTGGCGTCAATTGTGATGAAACATTTAGTCCCGTGGTCAAACCGGCAACGATTCGCACCGTCCTAAGCATTGCTCTATCCAAGTCATGGTCCATTCACCAAATGGACGTCAAAAATGCTTTCTTGAATGGTACTATTGATGAAACAGTGTACATGCACCAACCTCCCGGGTTTAGGGACCCCAATAATCCCTCACATGTATGCCTTCTTGATAAGGCTCTCTACGGTCTCAAGCAAGCACCACGGGCGTGGTATCGTCGGTTTGCTAATTTCGACGCCACCATTGGATTTATTCATAGCAAATCCGATCACTCACTATTCATCTATTGTCATGGCAAAGAGGTTGCCTACATTCTTCTCTACGTCGACGATATCATTCTCACGGCCTCCTCCAAATCTCTTCGGTTATCCATCATGGCCAAACTCAAGGCCGAATTTGCAATGAAGGATCTTGGCTTACTCAACTCCTTTCTTGGCATTTCGGTAACTCATCACAGCAATGGTCTTTTCCTCTCCCAAAAGTCATATGCTGAAGAAATTATTGCAAAAGCAAACATGTCCTCATGTAATCCATCTTCCACCCCAGTAGACTCCAAAGCTAAGCTAAGCGCCACATCGGGCTCCCCCATCGAAGACCCCACTCTATACCGCAGCTTGGCAGGGGCGTTGCAGTACCTTACCTTCACCCGCCCCGACATCTCGTACGCCGTCCAACAAGTCTGCCTTTTTATGCATGACCCGAGGCAGGAACACTTGCAAGCTCTACGCCGAATTCTTCGATACTTAAAAGGCACACTTAAACACGGGCTTCACTTGTATCCTTCATCCATTTCAGCTCTAATCTCATACACCGACGCCGACTGGGGTGGCTGCCCAGACACACGGCGTTCCACCTCCGGCTACTGTGTCTTCCTCGGCGATAACCTCATCTCTTGGTCCGCGAAATGCCAGCCAACTTTATCTCGGTCCAGTGCCGAGGCCGAATACCGCGGAGTTGCAAATGTGGTGGCTGAATCGTGCTGGCTTCGCAACCTCCTGCTCGAATTAAGGTGCCCAATTCGCAAGGCCACGGTGGTTTATTGCGATAATGTAAGTGCCGTCTACCTCTCCGGCAACCCCGTTCAACACCAACGAACAAAGCACATCGAAATGGACATACATTTCGTCCGAGAAAAGGTTAGCCGAGGTCAAGTTAGAGTGCTTCATGTTCCCTCCCGCTACCAAATCGCTGACATATTCACAAAAGGACTGCCACAACTCCTTTTCGAAGACTTCCGAGACAGCCTTAGCGTTCGTTTACCTCCCGCTACGACTGCGGGGGTGTATTAGCATATGTCAACGTGTAGCTGTAATTAATATGATTGTGTAATCTTTCCCTAGGACTCTTGTATATATTCTCCTATACTGTGCAATGAGAAGCTACGGAACATATTCCTAACAATAAGAATTATACCTATAAATGTGATTTTTGAAATTTAAAATTATGATTAAGATATCTAAAATTAGTAGATTACTGTGTTTATGACTTGTTATTCCCACAGAAAAAAAATAACCGTTTTTAATTTTCTTTTTTCTAATTGATCCCTTGCTTATTTTTATTCTTTCTAATTTGAGAGAAAATTTAAAATTTTAAAAAAAAAAAATCATACAACTGTATGAAGAACAAAAAAGAAAAGAAAGAGGGTAGCATGCTCTTAGTATACATGCATGATTATGATTATGATTATATTATGGATTTGGCAATCATCGTCTCCATTAAGCTAAACACATGCATGTTGACGTCGGCCTATCCACTGATAGACAATTGAAACAAATTGTTTCTTTCCTCCTTTAAAATTAAATTATCATAAACTAGTTAAGTTGTTGTATGTTATGGATCAAATTGTTCCTGAATTAAATGGATCGATTTTGATAGATTATCATGACCGTATTGTTGAGATAAATTGTCAAAGATACCATGAAAGTCGCGCCTTCTCAATATTTCATGGTGCTAAACATCTTGATTTCTCCTTCACCGTTCTCCTCTTAGAAATTTCTATGGTTCTTGTTATTAACAACATTTTGCGCTTCGTCTTGAAGCCTCTCAAACAGCCTAGACTCATTTCTGATGTTCTTGTAAGTCTCTCTCTCTCTCTTAAAACGATAAGTTAATTACATAGCTCATTAATTTTCAAATTCTCTTTGCAAATAAAAGAATTAAGGAAAAACAATTAAGCATGAAATAAGCCTATAAGTGTCTATTGATTTAACAATAGGGCAAGTAGTGTAGAGCAAGGATGGCAAAAATTCTATAAAAAAAATCATTGCAACAAATGGAATAAAGTAGAATACTATGGGGTGCTCTTTGAATACTTTACAAGATAATGATACTTAATAAAATAAATTAATAGAATTGTATATTTATTAAATATTGGCCATGTAAACTAATTGTGTAAAACATTTGGTAAATATTGTATATATAGTATTTAGTCATTATCTGTTTTAGTGACAAAAATAACAAAAAGCAAAAAAGCTCTTTTAAAAAACTGCTCGTGTGAGTGTGGACCCAAAAAGCTATTTCAAACAGCTTCCTAAAATCCTAACTAAATACTCTTAAGAACTTTTTAAAATGGTCAAAAAGTTCTTAGAACAATTTGAAATTAAATTATGATCAATACATTGCTTTAATATATTATGCCCGACCTCTAATCCGCTAACCACTTCTATATAGTATATATGAATATTAATTATAATTACTAACAATATAATACATACTTATTAGAACAAATTGAAATTGTGTACTTACTTTGTGTGTATAGGCGGGCATAATCCTTGGACCATCAGTCCTAGGTCGCAACAATATCTTTGCAAAGATTTTCACTCCGGAGAGCTCGCACTTTGTAATAAAAAAATATCGGGGTTATAGGGCTTTCCTTGTTCCTGTTTGTGATGGGGGTGAAAATGGACCTTTCTACGGTCACCAAGGCCAAAAAGAAGCATTGGGTGATTGCAGGTGCTGGTGTGATAATCCCCCAGTGCGTAACGCTTATATTATCTAGTCGCGTATTTAATTACATTGACAGTCCAACACTCAAAAAACAATCTTCTCTTACAGCTATATCTTCAGTTATGATTAACTCATCATTCCCAACTCTTTACACCATCCTAAAAGAAATTTTATGTTAATGACAAACAAGTATTTAGTTGTAATTCATGCGTACACATAGTTTGATTTTGAGCTTTAGTTTAACTTATACAAGAATAGAGTAAAACACAAGTTTTTAAGATGGAATATAAGCCTATAATCAATATAAAAGTGGGTAATAGTTGATTAAAAAAAATAATAATAAAAAGAATATAGTAAAAGTGAGTTGAACATTAAAAAAAAATGAAATAAAATATAGAGTGAGTAGATTTTAAGAAAACGGGGGAAGTAGTTGTTCGTCAATTTAATTTGTCCATTTACAAATAATTAATTGATTAGAAATTTAGAATATATTTGTCATGTAAAGAAGGATACAGATAATGAAAAAAAAGGATAATAATCAAAACTAATTAGGGTAGTACAACTATACAAGGTATGTACAATATACAATAACAAGCTCATGATATGCTATCTTTGACTATGTGATTGCTGTGATATCAAGGAACATGGTAGTGATGATATGATAATCCTTGCTACTCTAAAATATCTCCAAGTTTGATTACAATCATACCTATAATTACAATTAAGAATTCTAAAATTAGTAAAGCACTGATATTCTGACTTATTATTCCCACAGAATTTATTTTTTTTTTTCAAAAAAATTGTTTAATTTATTAAATCCATCTTTCTTTCTAATTTAGGAGGAAATAAAAATTAAAAAAAAAAAAATTAATTATTCGGGTGCATGAAGAACAAAAAAGTTGAAAAGAAAAGGAAGTTGGCAATTTTTTTGCTTATATTTCATCTTGTTTGAGCTGCGAAGTTTTGCTTGCATGGTCGATCATATAGTATTATTCATGCATGATTATGATAATATTATGGATTTGGAATGAAATAGTGTTTCATTCCTCCTCAACATAATTGATTTGTCATCAACAAGTTGAGGTGTTATGGACCAAATTGTTCCAAAGTTAAATGGATCTGTTGTGATGGATTATCATGGCCAGATTGTTGAGATATTTTGTCAAAGAAACCGTCGAAGTCGTCCCTTCTCAATATTTGAAGGTGCTAGTAATCATCATGATTTCTCCTTCACTGTTTACCTCTTTGTAATGTCTATGGTGCTTATAATTAGCAATATTTTGCGCGTTCTCTTGAAGCCTTTCAAACAGCCTAGAGTCATCTCTGATGTCCTTGTAAGTTCGTTAATAATTTTTTACAATAATATATATCATTGTTCTTGAATTTACGCATTCTATTTGCAACTTAAATAATATAAGAAAATTAGAGAGTAAAAAAAAAAAAGTAAAATGGGTGGAAGAGTGAAAAAAAAAACCCAGTTAATTACTTATTGATTTTACAATGAATGAAACAACCTGTGCTATGCAAGGATACAATGAGTAAATGCTAAAATTCAGGCCCGTTTATGAGATTTTGGTGGCCTAGGGCGAACATATAGATTGGGGCCCTAGTGAACGAGCGTTATTTTTTTTTTTTTGCATTTTAAGGGTATGCAAAATAAAAGACTAGCTTCCTCAACTCTAACTTTAAATTCACATATCAAATATTAAAATGTACGAAGTATTAGTTATAAATCTTAAAAAAATCTCTTAGATTTTCAATCTTTTAATTATGGAAAAATATTTTTTAGAACAATTATGAAAATATATTTAGTTGTAAAAGATACATGAAAATCAAATCGCTATTTTAATTATACTAATAATAATTAAAACTGCTAATGATCTAGGGAGTATATAATACTCCATAATAATAATAATAATATGCCAAGAGTTGGAAATTGCAAAGCTATATCAACGTTTTAAATAATTTTCATCTTCAAATAATTTTACTAGGGATTTTTTGGATAATTTAAATATGGATAATAGTACACTTTGGAAAGATTGAAAGAAGTAATTAACTTTTTAAAAATATCAAAAGGGGAATTCATCCTGGGAAAGCTAGATATTATAGAAGCAAAAACTAAGGGAATTGGCAGTTGGAACATTCAATTTGCTTTGGGAACAATAACTGACAAACTTCATTCATTGATGAATGACGAACTTTAGTATAAAGCAATTAAACAATTTTAGTTTAATTTTTTTTTTTTTTTTTTTTTTGGTAATTTGAGGCCCTCTTTAAAACCAATTTTGGGCCTTACAAACTGGGCCCTGGGCGGTTGCCCCACCTGCCCCGCCCCAGCGACTGCCCTGCTAAAATTCATTGCAACATATAAATGGAATATCCATAATGTATCATATTTGAAGTTTTTTAAACTTGAAATTGAATCATGTTTTTATCACATCTATATTGAAAAATTTCTAGGCTATGTACCAATATCTATTTCACCAAAATAAAAATAATAATAAAAAAACATAAAAAAAAAATCAATATTTATTACTATTGTATCTATATCAATAATATATTAGGAAGTACTCCTGAATTAAAAGGTCAAGTTTTTATCATGACATCTATTTTTTTTATTATTAATATATATAAGGTCAAATTAATGTATTGACATATGTGTGTAAATTAAGATTGTAGACCTGGCCCTTAGCTTAGGCGATGCAGGCTGAGCAACCGCACAAGGCCGAACTTGTTTGGGAGCCTTAGTCTTATTATTCTACATAGTTAAGATCCAGGTATGCTTTTGTTTAGTCATTAAAAATTACTCTCATTCATAGCGAAGGTCGTGTGCTCGAGCCCTTTCACAACCTACTACAAGAATTTTTATCCCTTTACTTAATAAGCTTACTTAGGCCCCGTTCTTTAGAGTTGTTCTGCTCTGCTTCAATCTGCTCTACTCTGATTAAACATAATAATAATAATAATAATAATAATAATAATAATAATAATAATAATAATAAAATCTGTTCTGCTCTACTTTAATCTGCTATGCTGAAATCTGTTCTGCTCTACTATGCTCTGCCCAGAAGCTCAAAAGAACAGGGCTTTAGTAGCTATTACCCAAAATCAATGCATTTAATGAGGGTTTAGATTTAATTAAATATATTTATAAATTATTTGGTAATTTCTCTTCCATTTCATTAACAAGAGGGTCTAGTTTTATTTCCAATACACGAGGCCTCATCCATTGGTCGGGGCGACTTCGCAAATTTGGATGTGTCAATTATTCTAAAAAAGAAGAGTATATAATGACTATAGCATTATATGATTAAGTCTTTGTTTTCAATATATCGTTAGTAAA